CATAATAAAGTTACTAAATAATATATGTTCTTACACATATTTGCACCACAACTGAATCAATAAATAGTAATAAGCCAAATTGTGATGAGGACGCAGAGAAAAATGAACCAGTGGCACATTGCCTTAAAAATGAAAAATAATTCTCTATTTTCTAAAAAAAAATTAAATAAAAATCTAGCATTGGCACCACCAACAAAACATTTATGCATATAATTCAGAAACTGCACTAATGAGTACATGCAGTAGAGAATTTAAAATGAAGCTTCAGGCAAAATGCTGTACATGAATATTTGTAATAGTCCCCAAATGGAGAGTAACCCAGGTGCCCTTCAATGATTGGTTACAAATACCTCAGAATAATGCCTAGGAATAAAAACAAATTATTAATATGTCTAACAACTTGGATAAAACTCTTGAGACTTTTGATGTGTGAAAAAGGCAATGCTCAAAATTCACTGTGGTAGTTCCATAATTTCATGTCAACTTGAAAATATATAAATGTGTAGAGGGGGGTATTGAAACTGTCAGTCAGGTCACAGCCTGATGGTGCCTGTGGGTGGGCATGACCTTCTCCTAAGAAGGGCCCTGGGAAACCACCTCCCACCCCTCACCTTCAATATCCTACTGGCAGATCCAGGTTGCTGCCAGAGCTCTGCCATGTTACCACGGCCATTGCATCCACATGACTTTCCCCCCACCAGCTGTGACATTCCTGCATTCTGCATCACGACATATGGCTACGTGAATCTGAAGAGGGACGTGTGGACTATTATCAGACTTAGGGACTTGAGTTGGACTGGGCTGGGATGTTTTCTTGATTTATAATTACCTCTTGATATAAAGGTCTTTCTTACACATATAAGAGTCTCTGGAGTTGTTCCTCTAGTCAACCCAGCCTAACACATTCACTTATTTCATAATTCCATTTATATTATACCATTTAGATGACAGAATTAGAAAATGGAAAATAGATTATATTTGTAAGTCACAAGAGATGGTGATATTGAGAAGTCAGGATTATGAAATAAGGTAGAACGGATGAAAGTTCTCTGTGATGATGTAACCTTCTGTAACCTGCTCATGGGGATTGAAAATGGCATGGTTTGGGTCAGGTTCATCTTAGCTTTTAAAGTAACATCCTTGCTTTACAACACTTTTAGGACTAAGGTGGGATTGACCCAAAGCATATATATGTCAAATTTTGGAATGGAATATTGGATTTAATAATAGCATCCATTTCATTGTATACTTAGGACTTGTTAGAAGAAACATTATTATTTCTCACTGGGTTTTTTGTTTTGTTTTTTAAGATCATTTTATTGGGGGCTCTTACAACACTTGTTACAATCCATACATCAATTATATCAGACATATTAGTACATATATTGCCATCGTTCTTTTCTGGACATTTACTTTCTATTGAACCTTTGCGATCAGCTCCTATTCCCACCCCCCACTTGTGGCCCCTTGATAGATTATAGATTGTTATTATCATTATATCCCACACCAACTGCTGTCTCCCACCCCCTCTAGTTTGTTGTTCTTCCTCCTGGATGGGTGTGTGTGATTATGTGCCATTCATTCCAACCTCCCCCCTCCCCACCCCCCGCCCTACCCCCTACCCTTTTGCTATTGCTATTCCCATTCCAATCCTGGGTTCCGTGTGTCCTGAGCTTTATCTCTTGCCCATACCTATGTACACGCTCCGGTCCAGTCCAGAGTGGGAAGCAGAACTGTGGTCATGATAGTGGGGGATGAGGAAGCTTCAAGGAACCAGAGGTATGTTGCATGATCTATCAGTGCTCTATGGCACCCTGATTGACTCATCCCTTGCCTGCAACCCTTCTGTGGGGGGATGTTCCATTGTCTAAGGATGGGCTTTGAGTGTCCACTCTGACTGTCCTCATTCTCATCAACGTGTTTTTGTTTGTTTGTTGTTTGTTATGAATCTTCTGATGCCTTTTACTGGGTCCTGATGACACCTCATGATCGCACCAGCTGGTGTGGTTCTTCCACGTGGGCTTATTGCTTCACTGTTGGAAGACCGCTCATTTAACGTCAAACATTTAAGACCCAGACACTATATCTTTTAATATCTGGGCACCATCACTGTCTTCAACCACATCTACTTATACACCCATTTTGTCATCAGTGATCAGGTCGGGAGGTGGGGTGGTGTGTGGTGAGCATCACAAAATGCCATTTTGTTAGAATAAAGTGTTCTTATATTGAGGTAGGTTATGAGCTGAGGCCCAAGGCCCATCTGCAGCCTCAATGTATTGCCTTATAAATATATGTACATATGCCAATGCCTCTATTTACATAAGTACACATCCCTGTTAATACCTATATCTATAGCTTTGCTTCCTAGAGCTTTCCTCTGCTTCCTTTTGCCTCCTCCTGCCCCAGCATCCCTTTCCCCCTCTTAGCACTTCCTCTCAGCTAGACTGATGTTGATCTAATACCCACAGGATTTCTACAACCTCCTAGATGTTGGTTTTAATACCCTGGTTGTTCCCCTGTCTATGGCATTGTTTGCTCACCACACCCTTCTCCTACCACCTTCTCCTCCCAAGACCCTCTGGGGCTATTGGCCCGGTTGCTTTCTCCCTGAGCTTGTTTCCCATGTCTGTGTTATATAAGTAGGCAAACCAGCAATGTCCTAGTCTGTTGGGCTCTGCAATAGGTGATTTACATTTATTAACTCATTAAATACAAAATACTAAAGGGCAGGTGCTAGTATTCATGCCGCATATAATATAAAACATAACCATCTGAAAAACAAAACATTGGAGAGTCAACTGTTTTATTAAATTAAAAAGTAACTTTAGTTTCTCACCAAGAAGTCTACAAAATTCAAATACATTTTAAATTCATTATCTTATATATTGGTAAAAAGTAAAATACTGAAAAGCCCAATAAATCATATTGGGGTTGGTTAAAAATGGCATTGGAGAAATGATGGATTCTATGCGTCAAAATATATCACATACATTTATAAATATAAAAACTGAAAAAGTGTATTCTATATACATATAATAAAAATGTGATTTCAGGAGTGGAAAACATCCCTGCTTGTATTAGTAAGATATTATTAACTAATGTTTCTGCTTCACCATGTTTAATAACACAAGTGAGAAAAAAATTCAGATTTATAGTAACCAAAACTCTATATAAGACTGCTATGAGTCAAAGTCCACACAAAGCAAATTACTTGCATTTAGATTTTAAATTCTTTCACATAATAGAAAAATACATTATAAACTACATCTTTTTAGTTTGATTTCTTTTTTCCAAACCGTTTTATGAGGAACTATTGCAGACACTATGCCATCCCATAGTTCAATCACATCAAACAGTATTATAAAATTACTACCACAATCAGTTTCAAAATATGTTCTTACTTTTTGCACTCCTTGATCATCAGCTCTCCCTGACCCCTCACCTCTCCCACTGTACCCACTGGAACCCTTCTCTAGTTGATGTCTCTTTAGGTTCATCAATGCTGGGTTCCATATACCAAAAAACACATAACAAAGAAGTTTTAAATTCATGAAAAGTAATACAAAAATTGCCAGCCCAAAGTATTATCCTTATCATATTGAATCTCAAAACACAAACAGGACAAATATCAAAAAATGACACTTAATGTTTTTAATTAAATCAAGTTTACTTTCACAAAATTTTGATGAATAAATCTTATAACAATAAAAATCTAAACAAATGCTTACCTTTTTATTTTAATTGTTTGTAATGAGCTCTGGTGGCACCATGGTTACACATTTGGCTGTTAACTGAAAGGTTGGTCATTGCAACCTACCCAATGGCTCCAAGTGCAAAGTAACTTATGATCTGCTTCCATAACGATTATATCCTAAACAATACTATTGGGCGCTTGTAGTCTTTCATATGGGACCACTAAGTTGAAATCAATCCCACTGCACCAACAATAATATATAATAATTGATACATGCAAAACAGATTTATATATTTAAATGCATCTTTCTCTTTCATTTTTCAGATTTGTTATGCTTTATATTAAAGTGGCATTAATATATCTGCCTCTGGATATGTATTTTTTCATACATCAACTACTACATATCAACTACTGATATTACATACTATGTATTGTAATAAACCTTGCATTTTTCCTCTTCAAATTAAAGTTAGTGTTTGCAGGGATAGTGTAGGGATATATATATATATATATATATATATATAGTTTATATATATAAACTTTTTACAAAGATATTACTGTTGTAATATTTGTACTTGCTCTGTATCAGAAATTCTTATTTAACACAAATTTACAGGTGGTGGTTTAAGGTTTATGTTAACTTTTTGGTTGCTAATGTAGTAAATTATCTAAAACTAGTGGTTTAAAACTATAGCAATTCTCATTTTACATTGTCCTAAACTAAAACTAAGATGTAAGTTTCATTGTTGGCTAAAATGGGAAAATCGTTTTTCTTGCTTTTTCCATCCACGAGGCTGCCCACTTTCAATATCTCATGCCTGCCTTGTATTTTTTTAAACTAGCAGTGTTACAGATCTTGGAGCCTCTTCCTTAGACAAATCTACTTCTTCTGACCACCACTCATAAAGCTTTTCTGTACTTAATGATTCTTGTGATTACATTGAGCACAATAATTCAGAATAATTTATCTTTATCAATATTCTTTACTTAATCTTGTCTCTAAAATCATTTTTGCCATGAAAGTGAAAACCCACAGGTGCCCTGATTTAGAATATGGGCAGCTTCGTGGAGGATAGTCTGCTTAGTATACATTTTATGTCCACACAGAACTCTGACATCTAGCTTACATGGGCCACAATCTAATAAATAGTCAGGTACAGCATGACAATAAATTAATAATCACAAATATGTCACCTTATTCTAGAATTTAGAAATGAATTGATGAACAGATTCAGAGTTATTAACATATTTACCCTGATCAGAATCAACCTATGAAATCATGTGGAAACATTGTTTTACATTGCTACCTGAGAATAGAATTGGATTTTTTTACATGGCTCCTATACTGGTATACTCTCCATAATATCTTACACAAAGCTTCTTTTATTTCCTTATTCCTTAAGCTGTATATTATGGGGTTCAATGATGGAGGTACCACACAATAGAAGACAGATGCCACAAAATCAAGAATATGTGGGTAGTCAGGGACAGGTTTCAAATAGGCAGTAGCACCTGTCAGAAAAAATGTGCTCACAACTATGAGATGGGGCAAGCAGGTGGAGAAGGCTTTGGACCATCCTTGTGATACAGGCATTCTCAGTACTGTATTGAAAATGCAGATGTATGAAAAACCAATGCAAGATAAGCAGAAAATTCCAAATAGGAGTCCAAGTACTAAGCTAACATTAATGATAATGTGTGTCTGAGAACAAGAAATCTTCAACAAGGAGGGAACATGACAGAAAAAATGTGGGAGATGCCTGGATCCACAGAAAGACAGAGAGAATGTCTCAGCAGTATAAAGGGCTCCAAAGATACCTCCCATGAGCCAGGAGGCTGCTGCCATCTGCACACAGACTGCCCAGTTCATAATGACCTCATAGCGCAGAGGGTGGCAGATGGCCACATAGCGGTCATAGGACATGGCTGTGAGGATGAACAGTTCAGATCCAGCAAAGTGAATCATCAGCAATACCTGTAGCACACATCCTGGCAAGGAAATTATGCTCCTGTGGGATAAAGAGTTCAGAATAAAATTTGGAACTGTGGTTGAAATGAAGCAAGCATCGAGGAAAGACAAGTTCTTGAGGAAGAAGTACATGGGCGTGTGAAGAGCCTGATTCAGGGTGACCACAGTGATGATGAGAAGATTTCCCACCAATGTCTCCAAGTAAATCAGCAAAAATAGAAATGTGTGCAGAACTCGAAGCTCCCTGGTGTTGGAGAATTCCATAAGGGAGAATTCCATCACCAATGTGCGGTTGGTCATGTCTCTGATGATATTTCACTTACTGTAAGATGAAAGATGATAATGACACAAATGACCCTAATGCTAAGGCATTGTACACTGCAACAATTTTGTTCTTTTTCAGTGAGGGAAATTTGGTGTATTTTCTAAACACAACATAGATAAATCCTAAATGCATTATATCTCCCAATATGACAAACATGGTGTATAATCAACTACTTACATCAAGAATGGATGTCCACACCTTCACTGCAGAAGAAAGGTCTGTCATCCTGCTGTTGTAAAGATTACAGTCAAGAGAACCCAGTGAAGCCGTTCTACTCTCTACCATATGTGTATTAAATGAGTCTGAATCTATGGCAACCATTAATTTTTGATTCATTATATATTGACCTGCATATTAGTCATGGAAAAGTAGAGGGTCATTGAAATTGATAAAGGACCTCAATGAGGTAAATTGACACCGTGTTGCAACACATCTCTTAAACATAGTGAGTGTCAGGTGGATGCAGGGCTGGGCAGTTTTTCATTCTGTTGTGTATGGGCTTGTTATGAACTAGAATTGACTGAAAGGCTCTTTTTTACATTAATTGCACCCACTATGAGTTAAAGAAACTCTAGTGATTCCGTGGTTTCTCTTTCAGCTGGTAACTGAAAGCCAGTGGTTCCAGACTACCAGTAGCTCCATGGGGAGAACATGTGGCGGTCTCTTTCTGGAAATACTTACAGCCTTGGCCATCCTGTGGAACAGCTCGATATTTTCTTACAGGATCATTATGAATTAGAATTGGCTCCATAGCAATAGGTTTAATATGTTTTAGATTATGATATGTGTCAAATTTGTTAAACACTCAGTTACTTTTACCACAAAATGTAGAGCTATTTTCCTTTTAATTTTATGATTGAATATGTTACACAAAAGCAGAAAATTGAGATTGAACTAAAGTAGGCAAGAAAAAGTGCAGCAGAATGCTTATATTTTGACAGATAAATCATTATAAAATTATTAGTAGATAGAGGCTATCGGAAGAAAATTGTGGAATATGGGTGATGTAATCTAGTTTTCAAAAAAACGTGATCCATTTATCCTAAATCACTGGTTCACAGACTATTCACATATTCCTAGAAAGAAATGTCAATGGTTTTAAGAACAGAGTTGAAGCACATTTTACAGGAAAACGGTTTAAAAACACATGACTATAAAAATATACACAGCAATGGTAAATATCTCTGCAGGGCAGAAATCCATCCCTCGTGAGAAAAGTAATTTTGTGTCTGAAAAAGAGTGTTGTTTTGTTTGGTTACATTAAGTTGATTCTGCCTCACAGTGACCTCATGTGACAAAGAAGTGCCCCATGTATCTATTGGCTGCAATCCTGGTGGAAACAGATAATCAAGTTTCTTTCTTACAGAGCTACTAGTTAGTGAAGAACTGCCAACCTTGCAGTTAACAGTCATGGGCTTAATAAGGTGTCAACAGAATTCTTTCAGAAAGAAGATAGGAAATATTTTTATTAAGTAAATGTATCTCAATTCAACGGAGAAAGAAACTATAACTATTCAATAACATCCTAGAAGTTTCGTAGTAGACATCTTGCCATTTTATTTCTGTGTATAGGAATGGGATTTCCAAGATGTCAAAAAATTCCCAGTTTCTGGAGAAGCAACTGTGTTAGGTTTTCCAGTGTAATTTTTTATAGAATTTTGTGTACTATCCATATGAATATTAGGAAATTTCCTTTGTATATCAAGAGCTATGGTGGCATAGTGGTTGTGCATTGAACTGCTAATCACAAGGTCAGCAGTTCAAAACTACCAGCTGCTCTACCAGGGAAAGATAAGATTTTCTATTCCTATAAAGAATGACCGGATCAGAAATATACCAGGGCAGTTCTAACCTATCCTAAAGGGTCACTATGAATCAACATCAATTTGATGGCAGTGAGCTTGGTTACTGGAGTTTTGGTATCAAAGCATAGAACTCATGAAAGCAATTGATAATTCATCTCCTTTAAGAACTACTTCACATTGATCTAGGATTGGTCTGAAGCAGAAAAATGGAGAGATGGAATGATTGAATTCTCTCTGCTCCTGACATTGTGTCAACATAAGCAAAATAAACTAGAGTCTCTTGCCTGTGGTGGATTAGATGGCTTTTCTGGTTGGTCTTATTGCACCCTTCATTACACATTTATTAGCTGTACCTTTTTGGAATTTTTCTTCTTCTGTATATTTGATATTTATGCTGTTATTCAGCTATCTCAGTAATCCTATTTTATGAAGAAACACCCTGAATCTGAATTTATGTGATATAGATACAGACACGTTTTCTAATGTCTCTTCCTATGACCTCTTGTGGCATAAATAAAATGGTCTAAAAACTGAGCGTACTTGACCTGAATTTAAAGGCAAAATGGATTCCAGTTGGCATAAATGAAACAAGAGAGAAGGCTCTACCTCCTTTGACTCTCTTGACCTAGGCCTTTCAATTGTGAAATAAAGACCTTAGAATCTAAGCTTTAGAATCTGAAATTACCAATAATCTTCCATTTCTAAAATGAATTAGTCCTTTAGTGGAATTCATAGTGTGTGTCCATTTCTTTGAAGACTTTAGAAAGTGCATATATCAGCTATTGGCTTAAAATATGAAAAGCCTTTAGAAAAGGCTTCTTTGCCATTGGCCATATGCAGTTTGTGTCGGCTTATTTATTTATTTATACATTTATTCCTGATGAACTTAATTTCAAATAATTAGACTCACCTCTTAGAAATTCCAGTGTCCTGTTGCTTCCAATGGTTTCTGTTCATTACTCTTTTAGAACCCAGGTTATGCATGAGATAATCAAGAAAATTCATTGTGGTTTAACTTCTACTCTTGCCTTTTTAAGGTGCTAGAATCATTATCAGTTTTTTGTAGTGTCCTTTGAGAAAACAGTGGACTGGGAGACAAGCATGATTCTCTAGGGAACCATGACTGAAAAGTGTATGAAATCTTAGTAATTTGAAGATGTCTGTGGTATGTATCCTTGACATTAATAACCCACAATTCATGCTCCTTATTTTGTGCTCTGTTGCTTTTTACCTAGTGTATTATTGAGAAATTTCCACCAAGCTTACAAATAGTATAAAAAGACAAAATCATACTATTAATCATGTTTTGGACCCACTTCTTGTATTTTCAAAACAGCTGAAATACTTTTCGAATTGCTATACAATATCCTTTGAGGAAATGGTGGACTGAGAGACTGATATAATTCTCTAGGGTACTATTAATGTAATTTCTACAAAATCCTTTTAAACCTGAAATAATCAATGATGCGAATCCTTGGTACTAATGTTACACCACATGCTGCTGCTCTTACACCATATTAACTTTTCTCTGTCTATCATTGAAGCATTTCCTCCCCACTTCTTTATAGAGTGAAAACAACATGTGGTTCCCATTATTATTTACTAAGCTACTGCAACCCATGGGAGTTCCTTTGTGTACTCTACATCCAATGTCAACCTGAATTTTAGAATAAATAAAAAATTCTGATATAGCAGATAAATTGATCTAATGATTTGTGTTTCTTGTTTCTGAGTGATTCTGTTACTTTTGATGGTGGAGAAGCTGTAATTCTATTTTAAAATATTTATCACAAAAGAAAATGTACATATATTAACAGCCAGAAATTAATTCCTCGGTATTTTCCATAGAATATATCTTTCATATATGACCAAAGATATCTTTACAAGAATTATGACAGAAGTATGCTTTCAGTAGTATAAATTTAAAACATTAATTCCATAGGAAGACAATGTGATTCTAAAATATTTTATATTCCAATAATAAAAAATTACCCAGCAAGTAAAATGCAAAATGTGCAGTTATATATGACATGAAGGATATATCTAATAATAACAAAGTTAAGTTAAATATAAAATAATATGTAAGTTATGGAAAGTATACATACACATTTTTATGAATACCATACTCTAGTGAAGTAACACAATTACAAGAGAAATATAGAAATTTAAATGGAATGGTCTTGAGAGGAGCAGGATACTCAGACATCCAAAGTCGGTCTTTCTTAAATCTGATGATCAGTTCTCATTTACACATTATTGTCTTATATCACATTCTAATAAGTGTCACAAAATAAATCTATATTAATTAGATACATTAGATTGATAGTCAATAATTTATTTGGCTTTTACTTATGGGACACCGTATTAAAACAAAAATCATCTAATTCTATTTCAAAACTCTGCTTTATACACAAGCAATAGGTGTCTGACTAATGAGACATTTGGACATGAAATAATTGACATTACCTAATTATCCAAATACCCAAAGATACATTTTGGTATAAAAGTTGACTACGAAGACCTAGAACTTAGTTTCTATATCCTCTATCCTTTATAATATTGTACACTAGATCTTTTACATGAATTATTTTTTTGTGCTCCAATCCTTTCAATCTCATTAAATTCCAATTTGTTTATTTCTTAAAATCCGAATAATCTTTGGAAGACAATAAGAATTGCATTGTATACATATGTGGCTTTGTGTTAAAATGACAAACCAGCTTAAAAATAGGAAAAATATGCATACAAAAACTAAAAACAGTGCTACAAGGGGGATAACGTTAAAACTCCAAAATTGAATTTATGACTGCAAAAATGCTTTAACATCAAAAACAGAAAATTATACAATTACCCTCAATAAAATATTTGAAGAAAAGAATCATTCTAATGATATAAATAAATAATATTTCACAGACTCCAATACTTAATTACATTAAAAAGAAAAAAATAGTTGGAAAAGCACAGAGTATTAAAAGCACTTGGTATACACACATATCCATGAGGGTGTACCAAACATATTTCTATTAAGCTTCCAATGCATACAAGCATGGGGTGTCCTAAACACCACTTGTTTAAACATGTCTCTGAAATCAACAGATAACTTTAGGCAAGTTCTCTCAATAAGAACCCTAACTTGTCTTGATCTTCTCAGGATGCCTTAAAATTAAGAACACACACACACACACACAGGTATATATATATGGAGTCCTGGTGGTGTAGCCATTAAGAATGAGACTTCAATCTGCATGATTGGCAGTTTAAAACTGCCAACAGCTCAGAAAAAGACTGGGCTAACTACCCTTTTAAAGAGTTATAGTCTTGGAAATCACAGGGGTTCTCTATGAGTCAACATTCTCAATGGCAGCGAGTTTATGTATATATGTATATGTGTACATATGGATTTATAAAAGTGTATTTATCTGCATACATGTATGTGTATCTGCATACACACATATATATCTAATCGATTAGTTATTTTAAGGATCTGCTGAGCCAGTTCAATTCAAGGCAAAGTGGTCAACTCAGAGGTTATAATGATTTTGTTTTGATTCTCAAAATAGAATATTTATAGATTTTTCCTAGTGTTCAATGAACAACCATGGAGTCTCATATCCTTCAAAGGACTCCCTGTGGAACCCCTACTATGTGAACTGGGCTCTACTTAAGGTAAAACTACAAGGTGTGAGAAGAAACACAGGACTGCTATACCAAGAGTATAGAATGTTGTTGGGCTACCATGTACTTACTATTTCAATGCCCTTCTTGCTTTCTTAAGATATGAGTTAATCAGATAGACCTCTTTCTGCTACTATCATTAAAACATTTCCCTTATCAACAACCTTCATTATTTTTGTAAATAGTGTCCAGTCACGTAAAGATTTAATCTGTACAAGTCAATAATTCATGTATTGTGATTCATAACCAGTCTATACTTGTATAATCTCCTTTTTTTCAACTGTGTTTTAAATTCTTTACCATTGACTAAATTATCGACAGTATAAATACAATGACAATATGCCCCAGGGGAAGATTGATGATGTTCTCTACCATAAAATGACTATAATTTCTCTCTCATATGCTGCCATTATCATTTTCAAAGCATTATCTTCCTACTTGATCCCCTGATATCAACTCCCCATTTCTTCCCCTCCCTCCCCCACACACCCTCCCTCACCAATTCTTGATAAGTTATAGATTATTTTTTCCATATCTTACATTGTCCTCCATCACCCCTCACCAACTTTTCTGTTATTCGTCCCCCTGGTAGGGGGTTATATGTTGATCCTTGTGATAAATTTCCTCTTTCTCCTCCCACCCTCCCTAATCCTCCTGGTATCTCTACTTTCCTTGT